GCAGTCAGTCAGTCAGTCAGTCAGTTACTTAAGATCACTGAATGATACCTTAGCAAATCTGTTACTGATCTATGAAAAATACGTAAATATACGTGACTTTTTCATTTTTTTCTTCTAAAACAAAGATAAGAAAATCAGGATTGAATCACTACCACCTAATACTCTAATAAATAGCAGCCTTTGCTTTAGTAGACTGACTTCCATGAGTTGAAAGTGCGGTACGCCCATTGTGGAAGTATGCAGTTGTTAGCTGAATTCTGCGACACCTTTCTTAGACTCGTCTTTCGGATTCATGCTGCATTTGCGCACCATGTTACGCCGCGTCTTATCACCTAGGGAAATAAACGGACAACTTTATCTATCCGTTTTCAAAGCATCTTACCCGGAGCAAACTCGAATCTTTATTATAAAAACCAATACATCCCAAGGGTGTCCTCTATTCGTCGTAGACTACTTATTTTAACGCCATATATTTTTCAATAAATAGTCTATCGAGCATATCCCGACCTAGGCGTAGATAAAGTGATCAGATTTACAACCAATTGCTTGTTATTTGTATCCCTGGATCGTAGGGGTCCTGTTATTCCTGCTTTTGCAGCAGAAGATGGTAGTGGCTGTGGGCGTGACAGTCGTGGCAATACTCTTGTCTTCTGCGGTGAAGAGCAGTTGGTTTATTCGATCATCGTCTAACACTATTGCGTCGTCGACTACGACGCTCGTATATGTTCCCGCTGATTTTCAACGCTACTGTTGTCGAAATCACATTTACGTTTGACAGCATGCACAGAGGCTGGTATCCCCTGTGAGCCTTATGCAGGCATCACGCAAGGGTCCAAAACACGAAGGAACGTTAACTGTCGAAAGCGCAAAATGATCCTGCTTCATCTACCGATACCCATAATAGAACAAAGTGGAATTACTCTATTAAAGCTATGTATACTGATAAATACACTACTATGTCATTGTTAACTAGGAAAGTACCTTTTCTTAATTGGTTTTATAAGATTGCATAAGCAAGATTTGAAATTGAATATAAGTGCGATAACAACGAAACGCTATGTATTCTAGTGGCTAGTCCATATTAAAAGGAGAAGTTGTTGAAGGTATACTGGGGCACGCAGTGGCTTAGAATTGAGGTCAGATGATTTTGAATTGGGTCTGAGAGAAAATCGACAGCATAACGCTAGAAGAAATTTGGAGAACCCCGTGTTGGAGTTTCACTAAGGAGCTGGAAAAAGATTACTGGGAAAAATTAATTAATGACTTGGAAGGAGATTAGGTGCGGATAAGAGGAACATCGGCCAACCTTAACCCTGGTAGACTCTAACCATCAAGAAATAAAAGCCTCATTTTATCCAGTGGACGAAACCGTTTGTGTTAAGGAGGATTCGGAGGAACCTTATCTTGATCAGCCAATGAGCAACCCAAATACCGATTTCATATCCATAGCTGAGCGTCGATTCCACGATAGTTAGGTAGAAAGAGATATTCCGTAACTAGAGAGACAATTTGCTTCTACCCTAGCATACGAGTGCTATATATTGTCTGTATTAACAGTAGAATTTCTGCAAAGTTCGGCTAGATCCTCATTAGCTGGATAGACAATGGCCTATATTTGATCTGAAGCGTCACTCGCATCTGTGTCGAGAGATGTCCGTTATTCAAGTCTTCGTTACGGAGAAGTCAGTGGCCGTAGAAAAAGTATGTTTCGACAGCAAGCACGCCAGGCCGAAAGGAGCCAGCGTGGGACGTCACCTCCGCCAATAGTGAAAGAACGGCGTTTGCGATTGTCAACTTCGGTCGTTTAACTCAGGAGCTTTTAGTTAAACTCGATACCATTATAACCGATTAGAGGTTAAGGACAATTTAATAAAGGTACTTCTTGAACTTTGTTTTTTTTCAAATAATGGTCAAAAAGCAGATCAAAAGCTTGTCGCCTTTTGCGTCGAAAGACTAATGAAAATCGGTTTTTGAAAGAAACTTACGCTCGCTCGGGCACAGCGTTATTGAACAGAAGAGACAGCATCGACAGTTGGAGAAAATACTTATTTGTTTTCTTGACAAACGGTGGCCTATTCTATTGGCTCTTTGGCTGTTGATCTTAACAACAATGTTGCCATAATCTAGCCTTGACTCATTGCTGTTACTCGGTAGGTAGACTTAGGTAAGTACGCTTTGAAAAAGCGTGTGTAGTGTAACTCTTTGAAAAACAAACGCCGTCCAGAACGATTTGAATGCGCATTGGGGACAGTAAAGATTACTCGCTAAAAGTGACTAATCGAGCTGATGGAGGTACGTTGATGTCTTTTTTGAGTAAACCAAGAACGAAATGCTATTTATTGAAAGTGAGAAAATATTCAATAAATTGCATTTTATTGAGAGAAACGTTACAAAAGACTATAAAAGCTTTGCTTGTAGAACAAAATTATCTACAATACAATACAATGTAGATATAGATTTAAATTGGTTTGTAATTAGTTTCAACATTGTTATGTAACATGCCCTTCAAAATGCTTTGTCAGGTATAAGACTTAGGTAGGTGCGTCTGTCCGCCACCGTAATGCAGAAACGTTTGTATTGCGTTCATTTGGTAAATCATGAATGAATTTCTATAAGAGTATTAGATTATCACTGATTTTTGAGTAGAATTGGGACGGATATGGTTATTTAGAGAGAGAGAGAGAGAGGAGAGAGAGAGAGAGCGAGAGAGAGAGAGAGAGAGAGATTTGATGGAAATTAACGGGAAATAGTGCCGTTCACAAAATCGGAGTGTGCCCGTAATCGCTTACTGGTACGATATTTGCGTACTAAACCTACGGACATGCAAAATGGTCTGGATTGTAAACCGGGAGTAGACCGGCTGGGAACAACATTTTGAAACAATACTGAGCGGGACGCAAAATTATAGCTTGAAGCGGTATATGCTTAACTGCACTTATCGCTGCTTAAGGATTGGAATCAGATATATAAATTGATTACATTTACGGAACGTTTAGCAGTATTATGAGTGTAAAAAGCGAAAAAATTTCCGCCGTAGTATACTAGGCGGTACAGCCAAACGCTTTCTGTCATGTTTGCGTAAGCGTCCTCCTGTGAAACGTTAAGGTCGCTAGAACTAGTATCGCTGGTGCCACTGGAAAAGTTCTTTTGCCTATCGGTTTCATGTATTCTTTTCTAGATTTCAGTCTGGACGTCAAACGCGAATTATATATATTTAAAGTCAGTAAGGTATACTTTTCAATTATCACTGCTATTGTAGCTTGTTTTATCTGCCTTCTGTAGGCTTCGATTTTGCTATCGTGAGCGTAAACGGAGAGCAGATAAACCGCTTTCTAATCAGGGTTTTGTATTCAAGACCAGCCAGATGAAATTAAGGCTCATTATTCCCAACAATGCATTCAGAGAGTGCGAAGGACGTGATCTATCTATTGTTCGTACGACGGTTCTATAAAAACAAAAAAAAAAAAAAGCCCAATTCCTCGCAGTGTCTTTACTGTTTCGTGTAACAACAGTTCGATACGCTAAAGATATTCACAAGTTCACTTTTGAAATGAGATAGGTATTAAAAAACATCATAGCGCACGTACGTACAAATGTGATAGGTTTGTTTTGTCAAATACACCGAATAGTAAATAAAGACCTGCAAATATGCAATGAAAGAATTTTTCCTTAACAAATCTTTAGGAAATGTAATAACGCGCACGCGCGCATACAGCTGCGATGAAGAACACGGCCCAGCGATATGTTAAGTTAGACGTGGTATGTCCGTGACACTGTCAACGTAAAGTAGATCCTTCAGGAGGTCAACAACTAAGATTGCCAAATGGGCCCGGCTGTAATATTAACTGCTGCTGAACTAAAGGGCGCAAATCTAGACTTATTTAATTAAATATAAATTTTACTTGGTAGGTGTTTCCACTGTTCTGCTCTGACTATATAATGCGGGCTCGTATTCTACCAAACGTGACCTGTTGCGAAATGCACTTTTTAAGTCCTCGAAAATCGCTCGTAAAGCGTATCATAGTTGATTACCTATTTAGATTGGCGCGGCCACGCTCAGATACCTCTAAACTCATGAAGCAAGCGGAGACCTTACACTTCCCGCCAATGCCTCACACGCTAAATTTCTATAGCAATTGAAACGGCCGATTACGAGCGTCTTAGCGTATTAAGTAGAACAGAGGGCGTAAGCATCACTTCATATCATTTCGCTATGCTCATAGTTCGGTCGTCATCTTCCAAGTCCTATCCTTGACGTACTGCTATTTCCATTCCGCATTGATTTGCATTGCCAAAGGTAACGACGTTTAGCAATGGTAAAACGAGCGAATTGCCGCTTTATTCTACAGAGCTTCACAAGCCAGTTTCATAAAATACCTCAATCCAAGATGAGCCGACTACCTGCTTAGTTCAAAGGGTTTTTGCAGGCACTTTTGTTGCTCTAATAAGCAGGATAGGACAATGATAAGGTTTTGCGTATCAATAATCGTGTATTCGTGTGTAGATAAACAAAACACACGTTTCATTAGTAGGGTACTACTCGAAAATATAAACACATGTGCATGATATGATTATGTGAAAGCCGATAATTTGTTACGTTGCCTCATCTAAGTATCAACCAGTCAGATATTGATCGATCAATGCATGTCTATATTTTTTAATGTTAAAACTAAAATAGAATTGGTCATGTAACAATTGAGTCGATCGTTAGTGGTTAGCGTTTTATGCGTTTCTATCAACGATATCTAGCTGAATGTTACTAAATTGATGTTTTTGTATGAACAAAGACCCAAAGGTACACTGAAGTCTTCTGTGGCTATTACATAGAATAATTAGATTTAGGTAAATTATAGGGTCATCACCCTATTTCGATGTGTTTACTGCAACGACAGGCGTGTGACAAACTCAGGCACTGATCAATTTCAATAATTACTTTATTCGTTTAGCGGCCGTTTGTACTATATGCCTTAATCTTGAACCCTTCGTTTTTCTGTTTGCAGAATAGACTTGTTACTGCTGAGTGCTGGCCGCTAGTTTTCAATGAAGAATGTAGAGTCTACATCCGACTACAGGGCCAGCAACAGCAGCAGCAGCAGAAGCACATGCCGCAACGACAGCATTAGCTGTACTGCGCAGCGCAGGACCGCTTGAGGTTAGTGTTGTCTACAGTCAAATATATATATATAATCAAGAATTGTCTGAGGTATCAAAAGGTAGAATAACTGTTAATGCTACATGTGGCCTTTTTTGTTGCCCTACTCAGTTGATTCGATAGTAAAATGGGCCACGCCACCTGCCGCTCTGCTAATCGAAATCACACGGATTTCCTTCGAGGGTAAAGGGGTCAAGCCATCGTTTGACTGCGTTTTCCTTGATCAAGGCCGAGTGTGTGAGGAAGTGTGTGTGCTATCGAATGCCACAACACACGTTCATAAAATGCCCCTGGAAATTGGAGGGTGTGGCGGCATTGATAGGTTATTTTTCGGGCAATAAGGACTATTACCGGCGAGCATGAGCCTCAGTTCTGAATCGGCCAGGTATTTTAGGGCACAAATTGTCTCTAGGGTACATCATATGCTCCGTTTGTGCTAGACTTAGATCTTGAAAAACTAATTTCTTGCTTTTTTCATCCTATAAGTCTTCGTCAGAACTGTATAATACGTGCTTTAAAGGCTCTCATGTAGGATATAGCGGGTAGGAAGCGCATTGTGTACTCCCCAGTTTTTGTTTGAATGCGTCCGTGGTTAGAGCAACTCGTTACTCCGTAGAAGATCCTGACGCGGGGTTACCTTCTTCGTGGTTTTCAACCTTTCAAGGTTCGTTCTTAAAATGATAGCAGCAGTGAAGGACTGCCGTTTCGCAGAAGGTCTTCTTGCCCACACTTTTTTTCGCCAATTTCCGAGACGTTGGACGCTCTCGTTATCGACAAACGCGAACTAATTCACAGAGCGAGGATTTCCAGCAGGAACTTCCAAACCGATTATTCTATGACGACACTCTACTTACCTATAATCATAGATAATTAATAGCTTGATGTAGTTACTTGTTAAATTTTGTCTGATAATAGTGCGTAGTATAAGTTCAACATTTCCGATGCGCGCAAAGTTCGGATAAACTTTGTCAAGTTCTTGTTGTAGTAGGTTTTCCGCTTATCCGCTGCGTTAAACTCATCATATATACACGTTCTTGTTTGCCAAAATCGAGTCGCTATGTTATTGTCAGTTCCCAGGCGACTTCGGAAAGCTATAAGGATCATTCTTATAATGCAATGCAGACAACACCCAATAGATCTTACGTACACGACGTTCATACGAATGATGCAAAAAGTCATTTGTGATAATTTTAAATTACTAGATACGTGTAAAAAGTATCAAAGAAGGGACACTTTCAAGCTGAGTAGTTTAGGTTTCAAATTGAAGCTGTCATCGTGGTCAACGGTGGCTATATTGAGCAAATATGACCGTTAGGAATAACAATTTTAACACACGTAAAAAATGTTTTTCAAGTATCTGTATTTATTTTGGTAGAGAAAAATGATGACTTTAATAGGACCACCGTGTTATAAATATGCATGCAATTGCGACAAGGTACATTATGTGGCTCATAAGTAGATACAGTAACTTCCTATCTTCAGAGCTCTACGCGTTATGCTAGCTGTCTCGTTTTATTTGCTTACTTATGTTACTTATCGTTCAACTTGCATAGGAACAAAGTAGAAACCTATCGAGTTTATTTCTTACACAGTACATATACTACATTAAACGAACTGGACTAGGGACAGAAAACCTCCGAAGGTCCCTCGGAACGATACCGAATAACGTTGGTGACAAGTGGTACGTTTCTTATTCTGTTGTTGTTTTAAATGCCGTAGTGGACGCGGCATCTTATAGTCTCGAATTTTCTTAACTCACTGAACCGCTAAGAGAGTGAGCGAGAATACCCTGCGTTGTTGTTGGTGTACAACCACACCTGTACGAATGACCTATGCATACATGTACATACGTAGGGTATCTATATGTATATATATATATATATATATACATGTACATGTTACACTATATGCACGTACATAGGGTATATATGTATAGCGTGTGCAAGCTAGGGTGCCCATTATTGTCTGCTACCCGAAAGAGTTTGCGCGTGCTCAACAAAGCTGTTTTTCAGCCGTCGCTTGGTCGCGGTCATATGGCTTAACCGGCTTGCAATAGACGCTTGAGAGGTGGGTACTGCCACGAATCTGGATCTCCTATTCGAAGAGATACGTCAGGTACCCAATATATCAAGATCAGTCTACTGGGTCTGCTAGTGGTTCGCTTTCCTTTGCGTTCTTCGTTATTTATCTGTACGAGTTTTACCTGAAACAGAAAGATGGCGATTCTCATAGTGGCGTCAGAAGCGACATGCAGTTAGTCCTTAGAAAAGCCGATGAGTAGTTACGGTAAAAACATGGTTTGCCGAGGGACCATTTATGGCTAGCTTTAACAGTCGTATTTTGTTATGTCATCTTCTGACGAGTTGGCGGGCTTTTCAAACGTCTTCCCCCTATATTCAAAATCATCCATCCTTGCATACTTTTATATTTTTGACATCAACGCGTTAGTTGCAGCTGGTCCACGACGGGTCAGTCAGCCCGACAGAATTTCACGGGTTGCCACACGGCAAGTTCGCATATCTTCGAAGGTGAGCGACATCAAACTGTCTGGAGTCCGTAAGCAACGACCCCTTAAAGTGAAGAACTAACTAACAGTACAGGTTAACTCAATACTATATTTATTGTTATTGTCAAAAATCTATGTCTAGCTGCATAAATGTCCAGTGGCCGTCGGCATCGTTCGTCAAGATGTCCATTTTATATTTCACACATATTTAATATAGTCACAATGATTCCGAGTATGTACAATTGATATTGCATATGTATGGCACCATCTACTTTATTCATTTGAAGTGCTAGAATAGCTAGGAATAAATAATTTTCCTTGAATGTATTTTTTTCCATTGGCTAAGCCTCATCTTGTAGGTACAGATTGTCTATGAAATTTGTCTGATCGGGATTTTCGTGTGTACTACATCCACAATTCCGCAAACATGGGGTGCCTTCTTCGATAAAACATACCGCTACAAGAATTGCATGTCATAGAAAGCAAGCTATAAACAACTCCATACCTCCGACTATGCTACTCTTTCTCTTGTTCGCCGTTTGACCTTAAGTAACAAGCTTAATTTCGAAAGCCGCTCAACATTGAACTGATAAGGGCCCCCTGATAGTGAAATAGGGACCCTTAACACCGTAACAGGTTTATAGGCCCGTCTAACTAATGCTAGAGACCACATCTTGCAATCTCCATCTTCTGTATTTGGGGCTAAGCGGCAAAATGATGAGCAGCTATTCCAACCATCATCAAACCTTGGCAGTGTTACATTGAATGGCTGGCCTTAAAATGTATTGTATGCAAGGCCCTAAAAGAAGGGCTGAAGGAAGGCTGAAAAGAAGGAAGAAAAGATTTGAATAAAATTATTTGCTTGACAAATTAGATGGCGCACCAACAAGGCCGATACGGGAGAACTAAAACGTAGTACGTGAGACAATTATGAAGCATAACGTGTTTCGACTATCTATTTGAGTGGATAAAATACTTAGCTCGACAACATAAATCCGAGAAGCGAGAAAAATTTCTGCGTATCCTCAAAGAAGCTTGCACGTCATTCGTTCAGCAGGCATCGCGATCATGAATATATAATATCTCAACTACCTATCCAGGCATGCTCGCTTCTAAGTGGGTGGAGCTTGGCCAGCCAATGTTTACGGCAAACCTGTGGCAGTGAAGTCATCTGAAATTCATCAAAGTAACAGAGCTGAGAGGTTTTGGGAAAGTTAGAAAACCTCATAATATCTCTTACAGTTGTATTGCTCGCTGGGATAAAATCGTTACAAATTGCTACCGTCAAACATTTCTACCTAATCAATTGCTTATTCACTATTCTGTAGATACAAAATAAGGCAATCGTATAGATTTAAAAAAAAAATACCCTAAATAATTTTCGATTCCTTTACCACAACGGTTCTCAACAGCGTTGAATAATACAACAGTAGATTACAACCCCCCGAATTTTGTTCGATCTCTACAAGTAGCCATAGCGAATGCTTTTGCTCTAGGGGAATAATGTTAATTTAGTTAGCATCTGATAAAAATGAGCGCGCCAAGTTTTCATAGTTTCTAAAACGCTAGGGTTTCTCAGAAGGAAAATATCAATGAATATTTCTGTTCTCATTGAGGGCTGATTCCACATGAGCGGGCCCTTCGATATTACTCGCTTGGAGCAGCTGATATATTTATTATAAATTAGATTCTAATTTACACAGTTTAATAAGTATATACAGTATATGGTATATAATTACGACGAGTATACCATCTACTAAATAAAAGCTCACATTTTTAATGACAGTCATTCCTTTTCTGTCTGTGTTTGACGAAAACACCAACGTTATGAACAGCTAATTAAGCCCAGAGTTTTAGACTTCTAGAAGCAACAGGCTTCTTTTTGGACTAAGAATGACGGGTAAACGCGTGCCCACAAGGACAATTAGCTCGTTGGACCGCGCCCCAATTTCAGGACCGTGTCTTGTATAAATTAAGCTATCGAAAAATCATTAGCCGTTTATTTAGTTATGTAAAGGCACAAATAAGGCTGCCTAGGCCTATAGAAGCTCTGCTGTTTAGGGTCAAGATGCGGTCAAGAAGAAACAGCCCAAAGAGAGTTTTATCGCTTTTGTCCTCGAACTGTTTTTTCGTAATAGTCGACCAATTACGTAAGAAGATGATGATGCATCGTTAAGCAGAACTGACAGGCGAGTAACCACGAAAAGCAAAGAAGAGCTTGATATTTGCATGAAATTGACACGAAAAGGTTTGTTTGATTGTGCTGTCCTCCGGGCAATTCTACCGGAACGTTTCGACCGGTTCCAAAGAGGCTCATCATGGATGATAAATAGATCACGCATAACTGGTATGTGCAAATATTTCTTCTTAATCTATGGCGAAGGCCAGACTGGTGCCAAAAAAGAGACGCTATGTGTTTAATAGGACTGAGAAGATCATGAGCTGCTTCCGCATGGCAAAAGGTTCGGTTGGACATATATCGTCGACAACTAAC